GCCCGAGACAAGCATGCGAGGCGGCGGAGGGCTCTCTTGATCCTGCTCGGTTCAGGCGGAGGAGGAGGAGGGGAGGAGGAGATGAGGGGAGAGTCGCCGTCGATGCAGCACATGACCGAATTAATAGAGATAAACACGATTGGTGGCCTACTTTCGATCTCTCTTTTCTTTGCTTTGCTTTGCTTTGATCTACTATTAAGGGGCGGCTTTTGTTTTGTTTTTTCTTATTTGTGATGCTTGCGCTTCCTTTTGTTTGAGAGGCGTTGAAAGTCTTCATTTATTAGTTAGCGAGTAAATTCTTAGAGCAAGTGCAGCAAGCTCCCAGTTGGGAGTCCTAGTCAGCAAGCTCTCAAGAGCTCTCAAGCATTGAGGTAGTATCTCATTCAGTTGGTTCTTTTCTTCTATCATTTATCTTCTATGTCATGGATGTAGGCAATTCATGGATCCCAAAATATATAGGACATACAAGCAAAAAATTTGTAGTATATACTTCTAACGGTAGAATTGGTAGCATGATATTATCACAGTTATATTTATATCAGTAGAGTTTTAAGCATTGACGTTACAAAATATTATCAAATTTTTTAATCAGTGCCAAATATTTATACGTCGGAGTATGCACTAAGAGCATGGGCAGCAAGCTCCGATCTCTGCTCTGAAGGCCGACGTGGCGATGGATGTTGCCAATCCCCCCTCCAGCAAGCTCTGAAGGACTCCCAAGCCCAGCTCCTTAGGTCGACGTGGCGGTGGAGAGCTTCGGAGCTCCCAAGCGCTCCACAAATTTGTGGAGCGCTTGGGAGCTCCGAAGCTCTCCACCGCCACGTCGACCTAAGGAGCTGGGCTTGGGAGTCCTTCAGAGCTTGCTGGAGGGGGGATTGGCAACATCCATCGCCACGTCGGCCTTCAGAGTAGAGATCGGAGCTTGCTGCCCATGCTCTTACTTCGACAAATTTTCAAAATAACCCTATTTGCAAACTTATTTTTCAAAAACAAGCCATTTCAAGTTATTTGTCAAAACCGACCTGGTTTCAGCTCCATGTCGGTTTTGGTGAAAAAAGTTCCCAAACTTCACGATACTTCAAGTCCCGTGAAGTTTAGTAGCTATTTGTTAAGCTGCTAAACTTCACGGGACTTGAAGTCTCGTGAAGTTTCAGGCTCATTTTCCAGAAAATTGCGGCTCTGGAAAATGAGAACTACAACTCCACGGGACTTTGAAGTCTTGTGATCTCAAGGTTTTAAAAAATTGCACAGGCAGGTGTGCATCGTTTTTTATATACGCAAGTAATCACGAAAGCTACACATACAATCCAAAATATACATGAAATTTCTCGCCATGAATCATCGATTTGGCATGAATCAAACAATATAACTGAATGCAAAAAATAATACGAAATAGCACCTGTGAAAATAATCAAGCTCAATATACTGAATTACAACCGAACATTCTTAAATTCACAACCATGAATTAAACACGGACATCAAACAATACTCACGAGATCACATATATAAATAATAATGATGGCCACAGAAAGTATAGTATTTGAAAAATCAATAAAAGCTAACAATTTTAACAAATAAGGGTCAATACAACGCAAAATTCCATCTCTGCCTTCCTCTCTGCTCTACTCTCTCTCTTCTGCTCTCGTCTCTCTCTTCTCCGCCTTTCCGCCTCGCTTCTTCCCCTCCCCCTGCCGTCATGCTGATGAGCCCTCAATTATCTGAGTATCTGGGTTGTGGTATGAGGCTGAGAAGTAACCGGTTCCATCAACGCATGCGAAGTGGCCAGGCTCCCATCATCATTGTCAATGTGTCCCTACGTCGTCGCGTGTGACATTTGCCCAAATGTCAAGACTATGTCCTCACGGCCTACAAACTCGTGCGACATGAGTCTGTATGTAAACACCTGTGCTTATTATCTGGCTTGATCCTGTTGAAGAGCCATAACCGCGCTGGATCCTGAATCTCAGGCATGTGCTCATACATCTCAGCCTTCATGTCATCAAAAGCAAGGACCTCGGTAAAATATATATCATAATTTAGCAAATAACATGCTTAATAAAAAATTATTGTTTTACAATTTTGCTAGAAACTAATCTGTCGTGGGCGTGACAGGTGTCCCCCAACTGATGGCTGTGGTCACGCGTGATCCTCTACGTGTGAACATCCTAATACAAACCGATAATGCGGTATAAAAGTCCAACGGTCGTGTCTCTCGCATATCCTTAGACCTGAAATCGCCACCTGTGAATGCACCTCTCATAATCATAAGGCTGCCAACTGGGAAAAAGTATGGCCAGTGCCATACGACTGCAATGTAGGTCATCGGCCTACGATCGATCTGCTCGCAGGATCCGGCAGCATGCTGAGAGAGCAGAAATTAGGGTCACAACGGCAGGGACATGCATGGCCTAAATCCTCCCAACAGATCAATGGAACCTGCGATCCACAAGTCGGGACTATCTCTGACAGATAGGTGGAAGAGTATGGCATATCGAGCTCCGGCGGTGAATAGGCGTGTCCACTTGAATAAAAAAGATAAAACATTTATCAGTATCAAAAACAAAACTATAAATTCATAACGACTTACAGATTTATATTTACATCTGTTCATGTTGGAGGTCATCAAGCTCATTTCGGTAAAACTCACGATGTCCGCGTCGCTGGATTTGTTAATTAGCGTACCGCACCGTTATACCTATTTGTTGAATAAAGAATATGAGTAGGAAATTCAATAAGAATAACAATTGTATGGATAATTAATACCTGTATGCCAAGGAAACTGCCCTGTAGGTCACAGTGCAGCAAGAAAAGTAGGTCGTCTAATATGAATGCGCTCCCATGATCAAATCTGTATCAATGTGCGCAGGGCATCCCTTGAATTCTTTATTCTGCATCAAGGAATACCCTACGCAATCCCTAATATAAGTATGCTAAACACGACATTGTCCATGATAGTGCGTCGCAAACCAAAATCCTCTAGCAGTGGCATCCGTCGTGTATGTACAAGAGTCTTGCTCGCATCAGAAAATAGCATGCACCTATCATGTGCAATATATAACACAAGCATGATATTGAAGCATCTGCAATGGAACGCATCAGCTAGTATATCTCCTAAAATGTCATACGAAACGCACGATAGCTTCATCGCACCACTCCGCTCAAGTTGGGAACTGACCAAGAAGCCCTAGCACATAATCAGCCTAATTATGGTCATCGGTGCCCGTAACTGCCGGGCTATCGATGCGGAGCTCAGTATGATGGCTACATCATGTAATGTGATAGTACCCTCCCTATATGCATGTGAAATGTGTTGGACTTTGGCTTCACCTCTCAATAACTGTAGCTGATAAGCGGCATCAAGCATAATATATCGCACTCCTGAAACACTCCCGGAACCCGACTTGAGCTATTAACTCTAGTACTTTCTCATCCTTAATGACCCAAGTCGAATGACTCTGTGATGATCGACTATGGTAATGTCTGGTACGGGCTGCACATTAAACAAATTGATTAAGTATATTAAGAAAAATTAAATTTAGTGCCAAAAATAAAGAATATTTTTATATTATTTCAAAAAATGTTTTACCTGTCCCGAGCCAATAAGACTGAACAGTGACTGCGCCTGGAGTACAAAACGTCGGCTATGTCTGCGGTCCCGGATCCATAATGGGTATAGCTGAGATTAACATATTATAATAAACGAATGTGCAATGTGAACCAGGATTAATTAGAAATCAAACAATAAATTATATCCCAAACATAGTACAAAAACTACATATTACAAATACAAATGTCACATGTGAACAAACATTAACATTAAAAATTAACGCCTAATCTAGCTAGACAACTACTTTTGTTGTGGCCGCGGTTGATCGCATCTACTACCTTATTTTTTCTCGTCTAATTCCTTCTTGACCGTCATCATCGGAATTTCTAATTCGTACAGAACGAGGGCGCCCAACCGATCTTTTATACAAAGGAGGTAATATTCGTGGCCCGTCTTGTGTCCAATGTTGACTATCATATGGTGGAACGAAAACACTCTTTTGTATTTGTTGATAGTTGTAAGCTGAATACCAATTTGCGACGAATTCAATAATGTGAAATCCTCGCACCACCCTGTAGATCAAAGGCAAGTTGCGACAACATGTGAACAAGGAATCAATGTAGTTGTGGTACATTGCAAGTGCACGTACACGTGTGATCTACTAGCATATTGACTTTGTAGCGAGCGACGGCCCTCACCATCGGAGTTCACCGGAATTAGGGCATCGTCAATATTAAGGTAAAATCTTAAAAAAATTAATTCAAAATTTTTGTATATTCTCATAAATTTCTTGGTGATTACTTGTAATAAATTAGATTTTTAAATAAATTTGTAATTATTTATGAAATTTGTGAAGAAAAATTAAATAATATTGTGTATGAAGTTAGAGGAGAAATTATCGAAATTTGTAACCGTGAAGTAAACAAAATGTCAAGTTTATAGGTTTCTAATATCGATCTAAGAGATTTAATGGTTAAAATTATGGGTTTCTAATATTGATATTGAATTTTTTTACTCTTTAGAGGAAACGATGAACGATCAAATCGTAATTCTTTGTTCATATGATGGGAAGATTAACTATCTCGAAAATAATATGCCCGTTTATGAAGGAGGTGTCACGAAGCCGTTGTTTATATCAAAATCGTTTACTTTCGATGAATTGGTTAACGACTTACACAAACTTATATTAACCAACTCACGTGAGTATCACCTCAATATTATTTGTAATTATCCTGTTGGGGGAACAGAACAAGCGACATTCAAATCTCAAGTGACTATGATATGGGTCTCATTGGAGTGTTACACGATGAGAAACGTTCGATGGAATTATTTTTTGAAAAACATCAGAGAAATTTGGGCAAATCGGTGAATAGCGACGGAATATACTCCCGCGTGTTGGAGGACCTTGAAGTTGACTCCGTTGGCTTTTTATCTCTACAACA